TTACAGAAATGTCATTATACCTAGACTGCTAGCCACCGTCGACCACCGCCGGAGGTTGCCAAAAGTCTCCATAATGGCGTACGACTAGCCATATATGGCTGGCCGTGCACCGGTGAGGCTTTTTCTGACCATGGGTCACATATCCATGGTCGAAAAAGGCCAGATCTGGTTGTTTCACGACTAGATCTATGGCCATTTCACAGCCAAAGATGTGGCCATGAAACGGCCAGATTTGTGGCACTGCCAACAACCGCTAGCAGTGGTGGCTGGCTGGCTGCCGACAGTGGCTTAGGGTAGGTAGGGTGTTTTTGTTAAGTTTAAAATGTTTTTGGTTGCTAAGGTGTTTTTGCTAAATCTGAAAAGTATGGGGTTAAAAAAAATTATTCAAATAGTAATAATAAAAAATACTATTATATTAATATTTAAAAAGGAGGGTAATTTAGTAATGTAAATAACATACCATAGTCACGGATCCATGGTCGAAAAAGGTCAGATCTGATTGTTTCACGACTAGATCTATGGCCGTTTCACAGCCAAAGATGTGGCCATGAAACGGCCAGATCTGTGGCACTGCCAACGGCCGCTAGCGGTGGTGGTTGGCTGCCGGTAGTGGCTTAGGGTAGGTATGGGTGTTTTTGTTAAGTTTAAAATGTTTTTGGTTGTTAGGGTGTTTTTGCTAAATCTGAAAAGTAGGGGGTTAAAAGAATTATTCAAATAATAATAATAAAAAATACTATTATATTAATATTTAAAAATGAGGGTAATTTAGTAATGTAAATAACATACCCACCCATTTATCATCCCAACCAAATATATTATTTACCAATTTATTTGAATCAACCAAACACATTTTCTAAATATTCCCAATAATCTTCAATGTGATCTTTTATTCCGTTAATATAATATCCTCTTATAATAAAACATTATATGATCTAAACGGCCCCTAACTATTAAAATTTTTGGATAATAATACTTTTTTTTTTGAAAAAAAATAAAAAAAAATTAGGATATAAATACCCCTGAACTTTAAAAAAATTACCCAAGGGTGGTGGTTGACGTTGATCTAGCAAAAAACGGTCAGATCTATTCTAGCCATTTCCAGCCAAATTTAAGGCTTTTAGCCGTTAACGATGGCCAGATCTCTAGTCGCCATCAACGAACAATGACCAAATCTTTGGTCGTCAACAACCACAACTTTAGTCATTAACGACGACCACTTCTGACCATAGATCTAGCCATTTCCGACTAGATCCATTATGGATCTGGCTGAAAACAGCCAGATCAACACACGGTTGATCAGATTAGACCGGTTGTGTACCGTTATGGCCACTATCGCCATCGTTGGCGGTGGTGGCAAGCGGCCAGTAGTGACTTGGGGTGGGTGGGGGTGTTTTTGTTAAGTTTTAAATTTTTTTGGTTGCTAGGTGTTTTAGCTAAATCTGATGAAATTTAGGAGGTTAAAAGAAATATTATAAAATAATATTATATCAATATTTTAAAAGGAGGGCAATTTAGTAATTTATATAATATACCTACTATTATATTCTTTCCAATCAAACATGTTAATATAACATACCCATCAATTTATTCCAACCAACCAAAGAAATTTCCTTAAACATTTCCAGTAATCTTCAAGGTAATTTATCTTTCCATTAATATAACATTCATAAACCAAATGCACTCTTAAAGAACTTATGCTATATATTTTACGTTAAAATTTTTATAATTCATTCATTGATTGGATGCTCATACATATATTATGTTAATGCTACGTTTTGTACCAATGAAAAGTACATAGGATTCGGGATGAATCTATGTAAGGGTTTGTCCGATAGTTTGATGTTGAATCAAAGAATATAATGAATAATAAGTAATAACGTAAGACAAACAATTTTTAAAATGGTTCTGATGCTTGAATGCAAATCTTACGTCCACTGTTTTTGTATTGTATTCGCTGAGTAGCGATTTGCTTACAATGAATTGCTAGTGAGTTTTTGTGACCTCGTTTTCCGTCCTCCAAAAACTGATTATAATGAGGTTTTTATATATGATCAATTACGTGTTTGAATTGAAAGTAAACACTGAATCTTTAGAACATGAAAACAACTTGATCTTTGACTCTCATTTGGGAGTCAATATTGCAAGATATTGCTTTACCAAAGTGAGAAACATCCTTTCCAGACTTTGTCGTGCAACAATAAGATCAAACTTTGATAATTTAGAAAGGCGGTGTGTTCTTCAACTCAAGATCATGAAAGATATCTTTATACCAAATTGGAATTTATCCTCTTCAACTTTTCGCACAACACTAAATAGCTTGACATGTGGCACAAATAGAAGTTTCATGATCCGACTCACAACATATTATAGAGAAGATTTTCTTCGGCATTACATGTTTGTTAACTTAGTTATTAAGCTAACTCTTGTAACGAAACATAACAAATTTTCAAATAAGTAATGCAAAAAGTTTGAACGACAAAATTTATCAAATTTAATATTTACTATAAAAACATCCAATAAAATGTCGTCCCACGGAAAAAATACCATACTGGTGTTGACATTTGCGATCAAATCCCACCTAGTCGTTGCATCTTCATATCCAAGACATGAATATGATTAACATTCTAGAAACACTTTCCAACATCACAAATTTAACGCCTCACATCCAATGACATTCGCCAGTTGAGTGGCCCACTTCACACTTGGCATACAGAACAAAACCCTGTTCCTGGCAATAGTAAACCCTAAAACCAACAGGTTTTGGCGGGGAAATAGGATTATTCCGTAAACAACAAAGATACACAGAAGACATTTCCCGCCCCGTCGTACTCTACTCATGCCACGTCACCATTTTACTGGGTCCATCTTTCGTTTCTCAGCTCTCCATTATTCAAATTCAATAAGTCAACCATCCAAATCTCGCCACGTGGTAAAACTTTCATAATCTGAACCGCCCATGACAGAAGGACATAGTGTTTTTATAGGGTACGGTACGAAAAAAATCTGGACCGTGAGATGTTAGATCTACGGATGAAAAGCTACCCGAGATTAACACGGGCAGATCTGGGTAGCCTTTAAGAAGCAGTGGTTGCCCAGTCATTGAGTTCTCGTTTTTGTGTGGAGAGGGTCTTTAAAACCCTCGCTTAACTCTCTCTATGTCTGCCTTTTAGATTAATACTTTTGCTGTCGTTTTCAGTTATGGCGTCGGCCGTTTTGGCTAGTCGGAATGAGCCGTGTTGGGGTGAGAGAAAGGTTTATATGAGAAAATATCCGAACTCGGTAAACACAACAACCTCTGCAAAGAATAGTAATAGTAATGTCAACGGCAAGTCTCTTTTAACTACTCAATCAAACCCTAACCCGGCTCCAAGTCATCCTTTCAACAAACAGATCCCGGCCCATGATCCGTCGACTGACATCCACGTCAAGGAGATTTCTTCGCTGTCTCCGCCCGGTGGCTTTCCAGCAAAGGAGATGTCACGTGCAGGTCGTGTGACGTTCAATCTTGCTGCCTACACGAGGCTAGAGCTAAAGGAGTTGAAGGAGCGCCTGCTCTCGGAGCTCGAACAGGTGCGGATCCTCATAACCCGGGCCGAGAACCTTAAATTCCAGTCGGTTCAACCCGTTTTTCTGCCTGACCCGCAAAAGCTGAACCCTAGCCCTAACTGTACGCCTAAGGGANTATAACATTACATAATTAAATAATTACTTAATTGATTATGAGTTATGATATTATGTTTTAAACATTAGTAATTACTAATTTACTACATAAACATTAGCACAATACTTAATTAAATAATTAGAAATTTAATTAATTATAACATTACCTTATAAACATTAATTAAGCATTACATTATAGTTAAATAATTACTTAATTAAATTATAATATTATTATATTACATTATATTATGATCACTTACTTAATTATAGTATTATATAGTTAAATGATTACATAATTAGTTATGAATTTATAACATTACATTATAAACATTAATATATTGATTAAATGATTTGAAATTTAATTAATTATAATAATAAATTATAGATTGATAGTATGATTACTTAATTCATTATAACATTACATTATACTATTATAGTATGATTATATAATTAATATAACATTACATAATTAAATAATTACTTAATTGATTATAACATTATATTATAAAGATTAGTAATTTACTAATTTACATAATACTTAATTAAATGATTAGAATTTTATTAATTATAACATTATATTATAAATTTATGGTATGATTACTTAATTAATTATAACATTCTATTGTAAACAATATTAGGTGTATTTGTAAACTTTTAAGGTATTTTTGTTATTTTTTAAACTAATAGGGGGTAATAGTTTTTTATAGGGTACCCTGAAAAGGAACCGAAACCTATATTTTAGATTCCAGTTTCTTAAATTGAAGAACCTGTATCGTGAATTCTGATTCCTCCGAAAAATAGAGGATACTTGAAACCGCTCAACCTATGATCAAAATTCTGGAAACACTTTCCAGCATCACAAATTTAACGCCTCACATCCAATGGCATTCGCCAGTTGAGTGGCCCACTTCACACTTGGCATACAGAACAAAACCCTGTTCCTGGCAATAGTAAACCCTAAAACCTACAGGTTTTGGCGGGGAAATAGGAATATTCCGTAAACAACAAAGATACACAGAAGGTATTTTCCCGCCCCGTCGTACTTTACGTCATGCCACGTCACCATTTTACTGGGTCCATCTTTCGTTTCTCAGCACTCCCATTATTAAAATTCTATAAGTCAACCATCCAAATCACGCCACGTGGTAAAAATTTCGTAATCTGAACCGCCCATGACAGAAGGACATAGTGTTTTTATAGGGTACGGTACGAAAAAAATCTGGACCGTGAGATGTTAGATCTACGGATGAAAAACTACCCGAGATTGACACGGGCAGATCTGGGTAGCCTTTAAGTAGCAGTGGCTGCCCAGTCCTTGAGTTCTCGTTTTTGTGTGGAGAGGGTCTTTAAAACCCTCGCTTAACTCTCTCTATGTCTGCCTTTTAGATTAATACTTTTGCTGTCGTTTTCAGTTATGGCATCGGCTGTTTTGGCTAGTCGGAACGAGCCGTGTTGGGGTGAAAGAAAGGTTTATATGAGAAAATATCCGAACTCGGTAAACACAACAACCTCTGCAAAGAATAGAAATAGTAATGTCAACGGCAAGTCTCTTTTAACTTCTCAGTCAAACCCTAATCCGGCTCCGAGTCATCCTTCCAACAAACAGATCCCGGCCCATGATCCGTCGACTGACATCCACGTCAAGGAGATTTCTTCGCTGTCTCCGCCCGGTGGCTTTCCAGCAAAGGAGATGTCACGTGCAGGTCGTGTGACGTTCAATCTTGCTGCCTACACGAGGCTAGAGCTAAAGGAGTTGAAGGAGCGCCTGCTCTCGGAACTCGAACAGGTGCGGATCCTCATAACCCGGGCCGAGAACCTTAAATTCCAGTCGGTTCAACCCGTTTTTCTGCCTGACCCGCAAAAGCTGAACCCTAGCCCTAACTGTACGCCTAAGGGACACAAGGAATGTGCGGGGGCTAAACGGGCCAACCCGTTTAGAAAATCGGGTCAAAAGCGGAAGCAGAAAAAAAGGCCTACGGCGGTTTCGTTAATGCGGAGTTGTAGTCAGATATTGACGAAGATGATGAAGCACAAGCACGGTTGGGTGTTCAACGAGCCAGTCGATGTCGTTTCATTAAGTCTCCACGATTACCACGACATAATCAAGAACCCGATGGATCTTGGCACCGTTAAGCTTAACCTCGAAAGGAAACTGTACGGCACCGTGTTAGATTTCGCCGCAGACGTAAGACTGACATTCAACAATGCGTTGAAGTACAATCCCCAAGGCCACGACGTTCATGTGATGGCCGAGACTTTGTTGGGGAAATTCGAGAGAATGTTCAAGCCGGTGGTGCGAAAATTCGGAGAAATACCCGTTACAGTGAAGAAGAAAGAGATGAGTTTTGAAGAGAAGGCGGTGTTGGGGAAGAGTTTGGAGGAGCTGCCGCCAGAGAAGATGGGCGAGGTGCTGAGTATATTGAAGAAGAGGAATGGTAATGGTGACGTGTCTGCAGAAGGGGATGAAATCGAGCTCGATATTGACGTGATTGATAATGAAACGCTATGGGAACTTGATCGGTTTGTAAAACAAGTGGCGGATTTGAAAAAATTGAAAAGTGAGGTAGTAGAAGTTAAAGAAGTGCAGAAGGTTGGAGTTGGAGAGGAAGAGGTGGACATTGGAGAGGAGATTCAAGTTGGAAACTTTCCATCTGTGGAGATTGAGAGAGATGTTTCTAGTTCAAGCAGCGAGTCGTCTTCCTCCTCCTCTGGCGGTATGTTTATTATTTATTTGTGTATTATATTATACTTAAGGACATAAAAGTAAATTAATTTAATTTGTTTGAGGTTCTGATATGTGGTATTGGTTTGTTGTGTAGAATCCGGGAGTTCCTCTGATGATGACGATGATGATGAAGATGGTGTGAAATCAGCAGTCTCTGATGCAAAAGATGCGGCCATGGCCATGGCCATGGGAGTTGAAACCTGATGTGGTCAGGTGAAGATATGTTTTGGTAGATCCATTTTGTAATAGTTGTAAAAACAGTGATTGACTGCTAGAAGTAGAAGTAGTAGGTAAATAGACAGGAGTTGAGAGTAGGATTTGTTTTGTGTAGTTGAAATTGACTGAAAAATTAGAAGGAAAGAAGTAATTGATGGATGGAATGAAATGGGTTTGGCATAGATTTTTGTACACGGTCACCAGATGAATTTCAGTGTAGAATAATGGAATGGAATCAGAAGAAAGAAAATTGGAATTCCCCCATTTCTGTTGAGAATGATTACACAGTATCTGATTTAACTCTAGTTCTACCATTTCTCATGAGACAGTGCCAGTGGCGACCTGTCATCTATTTACCTTTTTCCATGCTTTAACCGTTCAAAAGCTTTTACTTTTTAATTCAGGTAAACAAACTTTAATGATTCTCTGTCGACTCATTCAATCTTAATGAAAACTTTCTTCTATATTGACAATGCTTAATGCATTAATTATTTCATTTGCTTAATTAACAAGAATTGGATTCTATTTTGCATTTTGCACTTTGAGTTTGAGTTCAGGCCATGGAGGTGGCAAACTGTCTTCCATTGAGCAAAGAAAAGATCCTTATAACAATATGATAAAAGATAAAGATACCCTTTGGCTGTGAACAATTGAACATGCCAGTTGTTATAGCATATATGCCCCAATTCATCAAGCAGAAAGTAAGGCATTAACTTATTTGATTTATCACCAAAAAGCTGTGTTTCATAGATTGTTGTGTTTACTGTTTAGTATGAATATTGGGTGATATTGACTTTAAGAAACATTTAGAATATATTCAAAACTACCAAGATTTTATGTTACTTTGAGTTCCTGATCTGGAGCACGTGTGATATATGCAAAAGCCATATACAGTACTTGGTTAACTCATTTTAATTATATTATTTCCAATGTCAACGATAAGGGACAGGTCCATGGAGTTTTTATTTCATTGTCAATAAAGAGGAAGAGGCACATATCTTTTGATGATGAGTGAAAGTGATGACCATCATGAAATCAACTCTTCCCAAAAGAGGTTGAATTAAAGCCTCCCAGAGTGGGCAAAACCACAACATTCAATTCGATTTCGACGGACCCCTACTGGTCTGATATTTGGTAAACTTATAGTCAATGTTTTTAAATATAGCCAAAAGAATTTGACCCCACATAAATATACGTTTTCAATTGTCTCACTATAAGTGAAATTTCAAAGATTTCAGTGCTGCGCTTTNAGTCACTGCCTTTCGATAGGGTCGTTCAACGCTATGATAGCCTTACCACATTATATGTGTCCTTGGTCAGAATAACACTGGGGCTATGGATGTTTCTAGAGTGGCCACCATATGTGATCATAGGGTTCTCACTATCAAGATTTGAAACACTTGATACCCTCGTCATGGTTCTACCATCCTAAGGACATATATCATTACATATAACTATGATTTACACGATATAGAAGAATATGCCTTTTATTGATAAATAAACATTTATTACAGAGTCAATCTTACAATAATAGTTTGGCTCTATTACACCTACTCTAACAATTACATGTTATTAAGCATTAAACCTTAGCATGTATTCGAAGCAAATTATAAACATGCTGGTACATGGCCTAACTAAAACCGATTTTCTCGAGCCTAGAGGAATCGGTGGGTCACCTAGGGATCCTGTAAAAAACATCTTGAGTCTTCAAGTATGATCACTTCGTTCTTGCTCCATTTTCAAGTACCTTGCAAAATACATCATACTAAATTTATAGTGAAATTAATACTACACTAATTTTACATCAATAAATTTAGAAGCCTCGAGTTACATTCGAGGGAATGAGATGAAAAGAGAATGTACATTGAGAAGGGGGAGAAAGGTAGGGCATGCAGGCCTATTTAAATTTACAATCATACATACCAAAAAATATACTTTAAAACATTCACCATAGGTTTAAGGCTCATGTACTGGACACACCGTACTGTACTCAAACAAGTACATTGCATACATTCAAAAATAAACATTTTTGAATTGGGTGGGTGAAATTATTAATTATCCTCAGACAATTGCAAATCTCTTTTGGTCCATAAGTATTGAAACTTTTCACGTAGGTCCTTGTGCACTTGAAAGTATGCTCACTACGGCGATGGTTTATATTAATGCTGAGTGCGCTAATTTTCAATCAGCTCGCAATGCAAGAGTGCGATTGCCATGGTGATGTGTTATATCACCATGGTGTGCGCTGATTTTCAATTAGCGAGCACGCTAAAGAGTGACGTTGTGGTGATGGTTTATATAGCCGCAGCGAGCGTAAACTGATCTATAGTAGATTAGTTTAATCAGCAACAAAGAACGCCAAAGGATTTTGCAATCAATCTGAACTTCTAATCTCAATAAAAAAATTTTTATCATATCATACCAATTTTTCAGATCATCAACAAATTGAATATTATCAGGTACAATGAGTCAATCGAGTACTTAAAACATGTCGTTAACACAGAAGTTTTACAGATTTAAAATATAACATGTTATCAATCAAATACATGTTATCAAACACATATCAAACAATATAATCTGGTACCGGAGGCTTTGATACCACTGTTAAGAATCGATCTACGCAACGTAGTAAAAAAAAACAAAAATTCAAAAGGATGAATCGATTCCTTTTATGCCAAGATCCAGGTATAGATTATATAGTTTACATGTTAAAACAAAATTGTACACAAAATAATATCAATCCATTCAAGGATTAGAAATCTTACACATGTTTGGAGGCTCTTTCAAGTGTCTTTGAATTTACTTTGCTACCAATTCAACGTAGAATCACACGAACGGTGATCCACACGAAGACAATCCAAAGAACCAACCCTTGTTTTGTTAGAACAATAGGATGGCTTCAAGAATCAAAAGCTTTAAAGAATCAAGAAGAGAAAATTTTTCTTCAATCTTTTTGCACAAGACGTGAGGGAGAGAGTGGGTAAAGGGTGGCTCAACCTTTTAATTGAATAATGATCAATGTATTATAACTCAAATTGCACTTATATCATGCAAGAGTAAAAACCCTATTCCTATAAGGAATAGACATGGGCTCTAACCCTAATCAACCCTTGCAACCAAACACCCTTGTTTTGGTATTTTTAATTTTTAATTAATTATTATTATAATTAAAATAAATTAATATATATAAAATATATTAACATTTAATTAATAAAAATAATTCATTTAAATATATGCTTACATATATTTAAATATAATTAGGGATGGGCGTTTGCCCTGGCCTCGCTGGGATCCAGCCCGAATGGGGTGGGGAATCCCTAAAAATATTGGGGATAGGGCTGGGGACAGTCCTCAAAAAAATCTCCGCCCTCAAGGATGGGTCGAGGGAGGGGATTGTGTAATCCCTGGCCCAGGCCAGTCAACCCCGCTCTCATAGAGCCCTGCCTTCTTTTATTGAGAATTTTTTTCTTTGCGAGATTGTATATAAAGTTAGAGTTTAAATCATAGTTCTAAGTAATGTATCTAAATTTATGATATTTATTTTTGTAATACTTTCTAATGTTTGTATTAAATTTATAGAAAAAATAATTTAAACGAGGAAGTCTAACAATTAAATATATGTATTATTATTTTGTGCATTTCACAAAATGATAATACATGGCCCCAAAATAAATTTGATTAGATTATTAAAATCTACCAAACCAATATAAGAATATACACAATTGCTTAACGACTTACAAATTACACAAATTCAATTATCTTTGTAATTAATTAATGGGTCAATTAAATATGATGTTAAACTGAATCAATGTTGGGAACTTGGGATAATGGGATTTGTCTCTTTCACAAATTGACTAATTTTATTAGTTATAGCGGAGGTAGTGTTTTATGAATTAATTCATCAATTTACCTAGTAAATTATGTTAAGGTTGAATTTAGTTATATTAATTTTGTAAAAAAATAATTAATTAACAGGATTAACTAAGCCTATGCCTCCATACAATTGAATAATTAATCAATTTACCTAATAAATTATGTTCAGATTAGATATAAATATATTTATTTTATGAAAAATTAATTAATTAACAGGGTTGATTAAGCCTAATCAGCTAAGTCTTCATACAATTAAATAAGTAATCAACTTATCTAGTAAATTCTATTAAGATTGAATTTAGTTATATTAATTTTATGAAAAATTAATTAATTAATAAAGCTAACTAAGCCTAAGCCTCTATACCATTGAATAATTAATCAATTTACCTAATAAATTGTGTTAAGATTAAATATAGATATTTTTAATTATGTTTGGGGAAAAATCCCCGCTGGGCCAATTTCCCCGCAAAACCTTGTTCATCGGGCTGGGCCGGGAGGGGATGGGAGTGATTCCATACCCACGGGCCAAGATGGTCATGAGAGTTGTCCCCGCTAGTGGGGATGAGGCTGGAGACAGTTATGGGAGTGGTATCGGGGACAGGGAATGGGATCTCCGACCTTGATCCGGCTCACGCTCATTCCTAAATATAATCTCATTAATTTAATTTTAATATTAAATTAAATACAGGAAACAACCTCAACAAATTTAATTGCACTATGAGGTTACCAAAATACCCTTTCGTCCTAAACGACGAAAATACCTCTTGAACAAACTGATTCTTAAATTATTTTCTAAGTGTGTGACTCGTAAGCTCCTCATCATATTAACAGTGAGTAGTATCGCGATTAACACCAATTGATCATCTCTCACTACACACAAACCAAGATTGACCCCTAGCAAGGCATCATGGCCACCCACCCGATAGATTCGGATTCAGCGAAATAGCTACCTCTCAATGATATGGTTACCATGCAATCAAATCCTTTCACCATCTCTTATCTCATTGAGACTGAGGTACAAAAATAGTGTCAACCTTAGTTATCCTCAATATCTCTGTACTCAGTCACTGGACCAATGATCGGAATAATAAATTGGATTGATTAACAACTCAATCCCACTGTGGCCATAGATTTTGTGTCATTGCCATTTGCTGAATTGTGTAATGAGAAAACCTCTCCCATACTCGGGAGTGATGAATCCTTTACAGATCCACCATAGTCTTGATACACTCCTCGATGCAGCCAATCACTACCATATTGATAGCTCTAAATAGAACTACGTTAGGTTAGTGTCAAACTACACCAATCGGTGCACAAGATGCTCTAGTAATCTCAAGTCTAAGGATCACATGCACCACCATTCGTTGGAGGATTTGTTCCATAGACACTAGGGTTAGCATCTATATAGAATCCTTGGGTGGCTCAGTCCAGTGAACTTGCTTACAACTAGCACCCATGCGCTAAACCAGGTTGTCGGCAAACAACATTGACAAGCGAGATTAGTCACTCTCATTCGACAGGGT